AAAAGAGTTATCCGCATCAAGAAAGGTGCCACAATCACATTGGCATATATTGCAAACCACTTGTTTCAAATTTTTACACAGACCTAGTGTCCTGAGTTCACTCCAGAACATTTACTGAAGGAAATCCATTGTTTGGAGAACTGGTTCCACTGTTAAAATGCTCTCCCTGATTTGAAGTATTTTCTAAAATGTAATCGAAACCTTTATTTCTGCAACTTAAATTAATTATTTCTGTAATCTGGGAATCTGTCACGCAATCTGAAACAAAAGAAGACATGCCTTGACCTTCTTTTGCCCTCCTGAAATATGATGTTAGATACCCACCCACTAGTCTTCATGTCTCATGAAAAATATATTAATCTTTTTCAATCTCTCTTAATAATATGCAATACCAACTTCTCTGCTCATCTTTGTTATCATTTTCTTAACCTGATTCAGTTTCTGAGGATTTTTCTTAAACTCTGAGGCCCAGAACAGGTAGCGTATGATGAAAAGAGAATGGTATAATTGCTTCTTATCATTTAGAAAGTTTACATTGGTTTAATGAACCTCAAATTGCATTTACATTTGTTTCTATCCAGATTACACTGCTGTCTTATGTTTAGTTCCCCCCCCCCAGGTAACAGCACTTTCTTAAAACAAGGAGGTTATACCTTTCAGTTTTCATCACATCTCTATGGCCTTGCAAATATTGCAATTAAGCCTCATCATAATCAGCACAAAGAGAAAGATATCATGTATGGTGGGGCTTGGGTTACTTCCAATATGCTACACCAAACAATGTCTTCTTTGTAACTCTGGTTATTGCTTCTGTGCCACATATCCAGGATAAGAAGAAAAAAATGCAAAAAAAATATGAAAAAGTATTTCTCTGGATTCAGACAGGTCAAGGATAGCAATTACATATAGGTAGTCCTCAGCTTACGACAGTTCATTTAGTGATCATTCAAAGTTACAATAGCACTGAAAAAAGTGACTTATGGCCATTTTTCGCACTTATGACAGCTGCAGCAATGCTGTGGTCACATGATCAAAATTCAGAGGTTTGGAAGCTCTCTCATATATATGACAGTTGCAGTTTCTTGGAGTCCTGTGATCACTTTTTGCAACCTTCTGACAAGCAAAGTCAATGGGGAAGGCAGATTCACTTAACAACCGTGTTGTTAACTTAATAACTGCAGTGATTCACTTAACAACTGTGACAGGAAAGGTCGTAAAATGGGGGAAAACTCAACAACTGTCTTACTTAGCAACAGAAATTTGGGGCTGAATTGTGGTTGTGAGTCCAGGACTATTTGTATTAGCCTGAAAAATCATGGAACTGGAATGAGTCACTGAAGACACAGAATCTAATACCCTGCTCAGTGCAGAAATTCAAATAAAAATTCCCCTTCCTTTTATTTTAAACCACTATTCCATGTCCTGCACTCTGGGACAATAACAGGTCTTAAATAATGCTATCATATCTGTCATCTATCTTTTTCAAAAATTCTGCAGTGTCTTTTCCTAAGACTTATTCTTTTTATCATCCTTGTTGTCTTCTTTCCATCTCTCTCAAATGTTTGGTAATCATTCTTAAAATGTATTACCCAGACCTGGACAAAGATTTTGAGATAGGTCTAGCCAATACAGAATAGAATGGAATTCACAAACTACATTTATTGATGCAGCTTAAAATTGCATTTACCTTCTTTGATATTTTTTCATTGATTAATATTCAGTTTCTGAACAATCATAATTCCAAAACCTTTTCACAAATATTATTACCAAGCCAAGTTTCCCTCCTTCTTTTCCTGCTACATACTTTTTTTCTAATAACCTTACATTTTGTTTCCATTATCTTTCACTTCTATTACCTCTTCGTTACCTAAACTAGCGGTATGATTCCAGGAAACTCTTCCAACTATAGCCATAAAGTCATGGGCCATATGTGAGCCAAATGTTTCACTATATGTGGCTGGCAAGGTTATACTGAAAAAAAAGGTATCATTCATACTTCTAATATTATGAAATACCATAACCTTGCATGAACAGTACATTTTAAATTATATAGCAGCTAATGTTTTCAGATATCAGCCAAAAGGATTTTCATAGATTATTTCCTTTCAAAATTATAGAAAGAGATGCATTTTAAAATGTGAACTGTAAAATCAATGTAAAATAATATTGTAAGATCTGTTCACCTTTCCTCATAAATTAAAATTAAATATAATACTAAAAGTTTTAAGGCTCTACTATTTTAAAAAAAAATCACTTAAAAGAAGGATATGACTTGAACCTAAATAAACCATGAACAATCTTGCAGTGCATTTTCTTTCTTCTTTTAGGTTATCAAAGTTTTTCCTCCAGTTTTATATTAAAATCCCCCAAGTATCTTGAATAGTTACCCAACTTGGCTTTTATTTACTTTTTCTTAATGATTTTCTCAGGCTGAATATCTACAAGCTCTCAAAATTCTACTGTTCCTCCTTCTTTGAAAGAAATAGATATGAAATGTCAGTTCTTTAGGGAAATGTTTGGTTTCCAAACTCTAACCCTTAGTACAGAAAAAGTCTTGCAATATACTATTAGTAGAATCCAGTATGTATGTATTAAATACTATTCTTATCCTCTTAAGATCTTCATATGATTCAGATACATTTCTTTATATCAACTCTGTATTCATTTCATCCCCAAAGGTGAAACGTGAAGCAGCATTTAGACTCTATATATGAACAGAGATTAATTCAATCCAGAAAGAAATATTTAATTAATATATATAGTAACCCATCTCACACAAATGATTCTTGGTGGTTTACCAGATTAAAAACAAACAATCCCCGCCACAAAACATAACACTTCCACACCCATAGCAGCAGAACTCATTCTCCCCTTCCCTGCCCCGATGAAAATGTCTTCAGGAACAGCAAAGTCTTCAATGCCTTGTGAAGGGTTAACAAGATTGGGCCATTATCCTTGTTAAAATCTAGTTTTCAGTGAAACATTCTAGTTTTCATGATTCAAAGGGCTATTTTAATCCTCAAACATTTTCTAACAATTCAGTAGCCGTGGAAATTAACCACACATGCAGAAAAAGAAATAATAAAGAAAAATGCCAGCTGCAAATCTTTTCCCATAGAATAAATAAAATTTTCTATTTAATGTTAAAAAAACTTGAGACAAGGTTGTGATTTTGTTACATGCTATATTCAACAACAACAAAATCCATTAGTTTTAGTTGAAACTAGCAATGTAATCAAAACTCTTTAATTCTACCTAATCATGCATAGTTTATTATACATACAGTTCTTCTGTGATTTCAGCAATATAGATTATTTCCCTCCTTCCAAGCATGTCAAATATTAGACAATCTGGAAAACATTTCTCTAGGAGTGGCATATACAACCTGGACTTTGACTGGCATGCCAGAGGTTGTTCTCCAGAAAGTGGATGGGATCACAGTGATGTCTAAATTTAATTTAGTTACATTTAAAGGTAATTAAAATGACACAATATTAAACATAGGTAATCTACAGTATATATAATCTTATCCTCCTGTAAAACAATACAATTTAGGAGCATTTACTGGGAACCATAAATAAGGTTTAGAAGGACAACCTGAAGTCTTGAGACCAAAGGCCACATACCAGATTCCAAGGTGTCCATCCATTTTATTTATCTTTGGCTTCCAGGAATTATGTACAGTACAGCAGTGTTTTATCTGCAGAAGTATCCACAATGGGATTGCCTTTCTACTTCTGCCACAATATATACTGTATCTGAAAAACTGAGAAATGGCTAGCAACAAGCAAACCTCTCCTCGTTATGTTAAAAGAACTTCCTCTAACTTCAAATTAGGACTGTCCTTAATGATTTGGGAAAGAGGGTAATACTTTTTCAGTCCCCAAACCTCTTATATCATGTATAATTTAAAGTAAGCTTCTTATCAGATTACAAACAGTACATTGTTTTGAAAAACATACATGAATGCATACATACATGCATACCCACAAACATATATGCAATTAATAAGCTTACCACAGACAAAGTATTTGAAAGCATCGTTCCATCTTGGCCAAGCATATTTGAGACTGTGATTTCAGGTAGATCCATATTTTGGGGGTGGAATGGAAGTAGGCCATTATGGTTGATAGGGTGACACAGTGAAGGGTAACCAGATTCTGTGTCATTCAAATGCACCAGTGAATTGTCAGGTAATGAAGGTGGAGTAATGGGAGGTATGTTAAAATCTTCACTTTCAAGACTTGGACCAGGAAAAGACTGTGGAAAAATGAAAGAAAAGTTTTAATTAAGCTATCATGAAAAGAAAAAAAATCTACTAATATTTCAAAGTGACAAAACACTTTTTCAAGCACTGTAAGCAATATAAAGTTTACAAGCAAAATGAAGTTTGTAGCTGGCATAATGGTAGGCAATCATTTATTCTCTACACACTTTTAAAACACCTATCTACTGTATTAAGACATTTGTACTACTATGAATGAGAAAATAGTTTTTTTGGAGGTTTACAACCTTTAATATTTTCACTGCTTCCATTAAGTAGAATTCTCTCCACCTCAGTGGCTAAATTTAAGGCTTCATTACAATTTTCTAAGAGTCTTCACAGGGCTGAACAGGAGCTAGGGAAGGGAAGGGAATTTATAAAATTAATATTACCTCAAAAAGGCCTCCTAGCATTCATAGCCACTCAAGAGCAGAAACAATACAAGTGGACAAAATCTTGTTCTTAAGTATTGTTCTATAGTGCATAAAAGAATAATAAATTTAATTTACTATACCCAGTGAAAATTAGCCTTAGATACAAAGTGTACTCTACAAAAATACAGCATTTTGAGTCTGCTTTTTTATGTTAATAAGAACAATCTTAATAGTGAATACTTATGTCCATCCACAATTATTGGTAATGTCAACTTAGCTAATCAGAATCTTTGGCCTTGGCCAAATCTAACTATTTCCTTAAGAAGAGCTGAGTGGCCTTGTCTCTCCTGAAAACGGGGAACAGTAGAGCAAGAGTCCATGGTAGCCGAAGATTGCTTGAAAGGGACACATGATGATAGAGAAATGCAACAAGTCTTTATTTAAAAAAAATACAAAAATACCATTAAAAGTTCTTCCCAAAATGGGTTAATCAGGGGATAATCATTCCAATGCTCATCTGTGACATACAACTGGAAATCAACTACTGTATGTGCTCACAAACACAACATTATTGCTTCACCTGATTTGCTGGTGTTTCCCTGACTAGCTTGTCAAAAAGCATCTCTAAAACTTTGCAAACAATTCTGGTAATTTCCAATAATCCTTTATTGCCCTCAATGAGCAGCATGAGCTATTCGTCTGCTTTTTCAACAGACTAAGGTGGCCTTGGGCCAAACTATAGGAAATACCACTGAAGTAGAACCTTAAATGACTCACGTTGCATTATGAAAGTCAAGAATTGATCTTGAGACACCCACCCCCAAACTTCACCAGTAGACTTTTAGGACAACAGAGCAATACTGGCTGTGTAGTAACTTGTGGAACTGTTGTCAGCTGAGGTAAGGCTTATCCAAATTATTGTGCTAGCTGCATCATGGCATTGTGCCGGTTTGTTATTTGTATATCAATCTGCCATTCATGCATCATCAAACAAATCAATCCAGAGTTCTCATTCATGGCACAAATGATCAAGCTCAAATTGTTCTATTGTGGATACATTATGCAAAATCCTAGTTCTCTGGAAAAGTCTCTATTGCTAGCAAAACTGGAAAGAAAGAGAAGAAGAGAACAACAAGCACCGAAGTAGATGGACTAAGTTATAGTAGTCATGTGGACACCATTATGAGATCTGAAAAAAATATTTTAGGGATAGATCATCATGGAGAAAATCTATGTGGTTGCTAGGAGTGAAAAATGACATAGTCAATCAATCAATCAATCAATCTGCTATTGATGCTGTAACAATGCCTCCAAACCTGGTTCTAGAGACAGTTGCCTCAAAGATCTATTACCAAATTTTACAGCTAGGTCCATTGCCTCTCTGATGGAAGACTACTGAGGCATTCAGGATCAATGTCAGCCCTTTAAAATAGGCAAAATCAAGAAACACACAGCAGCGATTTCAAGGATTGTTCTTTAGTGTTTTTAGGAAGAATAACAAAAACTCAAAAGCATGTCCAAGTTTTTCTCTACTCCATCTTACATCAAATAAAATCAAGGTAGGGTTATTTTGAATTTTTTCCTTACACTGCCCTCTTTTTCAGGACTGAATAATATTTTTTTAAAGTTCTGCTTAAATGGTTCACTCATTCCTTTTTCATTCCTGGAGCCAGATCTACATTCCTTTTTAGATGCAAGCTAAGAGAAAACAGTTTAGGATACAATGAGGGCAAAATAGATAGCATGTGTGTGCACAGAAGTGCATACATTGCTCAAATGACTCATAGTGCATCTTTGCATATTATACACCAAGTACAAATATTTTATACAAACTAATATAAAGACATTCATCTAAATGTTGATTTCTCTATTTTCAATTTCCTGCTGGCTGACAATATTAATTAAGCAGATGGTGAATGACTGACAGAACTGGAATGATAATTTTTTAGTGAACCAACTGCACCATGCTGGATGTCAACAAGAGAAATGAACATTTCTAGAAAATTGGTTCGAATTTTCTTTTTCCCCTTTCCCCTATTTTTAGAGTAATTTGTGTGTGATATGTTCATTTTTGTTAACTATTTGTTATTTAACAAACACTTGGCAAGTATTTTGTTTCAGCAAAACTATATGTTTTACAGTATTAGCAGTGTAGGTGTAGCAGCTAAGTAGCCGCCCTGAGTCCGCCAGGAGAAGGGCGGGGTATAAATTTAATAAAACCTATAAATTTAATAAAACCTAAGTAGAAGTTATATCAGCACTTTAATGGCCAAACATTTTCTGCTTGTTTACTGAGCATGCTACAGTAGTGTATCTTCTAATGCTCAAAAAGTTCAGAAGCATTTGCTATTTGCCTAGAATTCTCTTGTTTCCTAGTCTATTTTGCTGTTGTCACATACAGACTATAGCTGAGAAGAAACTGCATTGTCATACTTTCAATGAGTCATACTTTCAAGTAGTTATTGTGAATGATCTTTTTTGGGTCCTTTGAGCAAAATATCAAGTTATGCCCTCACTGTATTATAGATAAGAAAGCAACTTGTAATTAATATTTCTAGAATTTTATATAATGGATAAGCAGCACAAACAAAATTCATTTTACACAAGAAAACCTATCAGTAAATAACATGAACCTTATGGCATAGTTAATAGATTGACAGAATAACAGAGTTGAAAGGGGCCTTGGAGGTCTTTTAGTCCAACTCTGTTCATACCATTTCAGACAAATGGTTGTCCAATCTCTTCTTAAAAACCCAGTATTGAAGTCCCCACAACCACTGATTAATTTGTTCTCACCGTCAGGAAATTTCTGTCGGGAAACTTTTCCTTAATTTTAGGTCTGTCCTCTCCTTGATTAATTTCCATCCATTGCTTCTTATCCTGCCTTCAGGTGCTTTGAAAAATAGGTTGACACCCCCCTTCTTTGGGGCAACCCCTTAGATCAGTGGTGGCGAACCTATGGCACGCATGCCAGAGGCGGCACTCAGAACCCTCTCTGTGGGCATGTACGCCATGCTCTGGAGATGGCAACTGTCCCCTCTTCAACCAGCCACCTGCTAACTCGCCGAGGTCCCACATGGCCAAATGCATCCCAGCACCCATGCACTCACTGGCCTCTGTGTGCAGCGGCTGATGGTGTCAGGCAGCAGCCGCCTGGGCCCCTGCCTCACCTTGCCCTGTGACAATGGCACCCTCACCTTGCCTCACCTCACCCAGCAGGACGAGCCTCCTGCCCACCACCCCACCTGCCAGAGATCCCCTGGATCTCCCCCAATCCTGCCCGCCCCCCACAGGCATCCCTCCCCACGAGCAACATCAATGTGATCACGTCCACCTTGGCCACACCCACCTGCCATGACCACCACAGCCACGCCCACACATTGGGCCACACCCACCTGGCACCCGGTGATAAATAAGTGGGTTTTGGGTTGCAGTTTGGGCACTCAGTCTCTAAAAGGTTTGCCATCACTGCCTTAGATATTGGAACACTGCTATCATATCACTCCTTTTTTCATTAAATTAGATATATTCAATTCCTGAATCTGTTTTTCATATGTTTTATAATTAACACCTCTCCTATTGGCTTGTATCAAAGTTAAATGGCAAGCAAAGCCAGTCTCCAAAGTGACTAGAAGGCAAAGAAAACAAACAGTAGGCTTGTGGTTATCCTCCTTGAGAAGTCCTGCCCACTCCTACTGTACTTGGTTTATCATTGCAGATCTCAGGAACACACTGATCTAAACCCTATTTTGTCAGCACAAGGTATCACCACAGCCGAGTCCAATTTAGAGATATAAACTAGAGAACTAACTGAGAGGCATCTATAGAGTTGCAAATGTATTGGAAGATCAACCCTTCTAATGAGTAACCCATCTGACTGGTTAATCATGGCATCAAGCTATGAAGGTCCCTTGCTTTAGAACTGCCATGATGCTTGTACCTTGCCTACAGTCTGTAGGGAAGGGGGCAAGGTTTGGAATGCACAGGTGGTTGCTATCAGTGTGAGAGCTGAGGTCACTAAAGAGATGTTTTGGCGAATTGAGGTTTTATTCTCATAACAGATGTTTGAAAACTAATTGGACAATGTGACCTGAACTGTTAGAGAGGGGAGGGAAGGTTTTACTTTTTTAATTAACTTTTTCCCGCCATATTGCCAGAGCTGATATTCTTTCTATCCTACAGGTATGCTATGCCTAATAAATCTTCACATTAGAGATCGCAATGTCTCTGGTAGATTTACTTCATTGGACTTTTTAGCCAGAACCCAGACACATGGATTATCAGAAGTTGATAGGGAATGGAGATTCTGGAGACTGCAGACATAAACACCCAGTCATTAAAGTGTTTTATTTTTGCATTCTAATTGACCTACTTTCTCCTTTTGGATTTCCTTATGCTGAATTTATGGAGTCTTTGAACCAAGCTGTTCTTGAAACACAAGCTGTTATTGTCTGCTTTATTTTTTTTGTTTATACTTGTTTACACTTTTTTTGGTTTTAAACCAAAGTCACTCTGTGATATTGATGACTATATAAATTGTATAAGTAAATAATCATGCTGTCAGTATGTAAATTTACAGTGAATTTGTTTTAAATATTAGCTTTGAAAGGACAAATTCATTG